ACATTACTAAATATCAATATAATATCTTCATGATTTATATCATTTCTATATTATTACATTTCTATTTTGAATTAATATGTATATGATGTTAAGTATTTTCAATATCATAATAAAGAATGATGAAATTATTTATTTTTCAATGAAGAATGAAAGAGAAAATAATAAATTAATTAAAATATAATGATAATAGAATAATAAGATATAATAATAGAAAGAGAGATGAACAAAAGAAAGAATATTAGAAATAAATAAACATAATATTCATAATAATGATGTAATAAAGAATATAAATAAAAAGAATATAAATAATAAAGAAATAAGAGAGAATATAAATGATGATAGAGTTATTATTTAATAATAATATGAAATAAATAATAGTTATCTTTTTATATAAGAATAAAATTATTTCATTTTATGAATTATTGAAAAATCGTACAAAATTAATATTTTATACTTATGAAAACATAAATTATAACATAAATATGAACATTTCATTTATTAATTCATAAATTTTGATTGTTCAATTTTATGAATAGTTAAAAATTAATAAATCATTATAAATACTCAACATATATCATGGATTTTATCATATTCATTTTTTATCATTAATATAATAATTCTATTTATTCTTTACCATTTTATTTCTTATTATCAAAACATTAATTGAATTAACTACTAAAGAGATTATGATTAATAAGAATATGAATAAGTTAAATGATAAGATGATGAAAGAAATAAAATAAAGAAATGACAGTATCTTTATAATGAAGAAATGAGAAAAATGAATAACAATAAGAAATAGATAATAAATAAAAATGAATAAAAAAAAAAGAAATAAATAAATAAGAAATAAATAAATAAGAAATAAATAAATAAGAAATAAGAATAAATAAGAGAATATGATGAATAAAACAATAATCAGATGAAAGAAAATAAGAATAAAATGTAAAATGAAAGAATAAAAATGAATGAAGTGATATAAATAGTACTATTATTATATATATATATAATTAATATGATATATATCTATATCATAATTGTATTTATATAATTAATTATTTATTCATATAAATATTATATATATAATGAAAATCTAGAAATTATTTCATCTTCATTAAATTTTATTCATCATTAAGAAATTTCAAATTAAATTTCAAAAAATTAAAAGAATATTCATAAAAATATTCAATACAAATTAAACATGTACATAAATATTAATATAAATAATATATTAAATATAAATAATATAAATAATAATAACGAAGATACATTATATAACACCAATCATCGTAAAGAATGATTAATATTTTAATGTCATAAAGAATTAAGTAGTATTGATAAGGGTCACAATAACGAAATATGATTAATCAACACAATTTATTCATTATGATAAAAAAGATAAAAATAATAACAAAAGATGAATAACAAAAAATAAAAATGATAATAATAATAAACAATTATGATTAATTACATAAATAAGAATAGTATATTATAATTAAGAATGAAGTGATGACATCAACAGTCACAATTTTTACTATATTACTTATTGTCACAAATATTTAGTGTCACAACGCACCTTCGGTGCGTATGGCGCGTAGCGCCATTGTGACACTAAATATTTGTGACAATAAGTAATATAGGCAAATTAGGGTTAAATAGGTACCTCGAGGGTTAGTAAAAATAGATATAGTAAAAATATACTATATTTTACTATACTAGTTATGAGGTCATTACTTATTGTCCCAAATATTTAGTGTTGAATTCTCGTAAGAATTCGGGAAACGTCATCCTAACGAGATCTTAGATAGGGTTACACCTACATTATAGTTAAATTATAGTTTAATAATAAACTATACTAATATTTAATGACCCTACCATCTAGATATGGTCATTAGATCTTACATGTACGGCACACCAGCAAATAGATACCCAGATGTATTCAGCGATGAACAGGAGACCGAAATAGAAGAGGACAATGCCTCTTTAAAAGATTTTTATGATATGTTATCTGATATGTTTAAATTAGCAGAGACTGCTCATATACTTGATTATGGTATTAATATGTCATTTGGAAAACAGCCACTAAATGTTTTAAACAATACTATTATAAAACATTTAGAAGTTATAGAAACACTTAAAGAAGAGATTAAAGATTTCGAAAGACGAAATAGATTAATTATAACCAGATTAAAAGAAGAAGAGAATAAAGGGAAAGAGTTAGAGAAGAAAGTAAAGCAAGAGACAAAACCAAAGAGAAGAAAGACCCAATTATTATAATTCAATTAATTGAATTAATTTATTTTAGTTGTTTTATTTTTAGAAAATGTTATTTATTTTTTGTTATTGTTTTCTAAAAATAAACAAATTTGTTATTTAAACGCTAATTAAAAAGCATTCAATTAAAGTGCTCAATGTCTGGTTGATAATAACCAGTGCGAACAAGAGTAAGTAGATGGACTAGTGGTCTAGAGTCGATTAAATTAGACTCCACGTCCTTAATAAGGAAGTCGAGCTACATGAGTAAGTACTTAGTTGATCTAAGATTATACTCATGGTCCCAAATACGGAACCAATAGACCAACCCATACAGTACAATCTCAGCAGTTTCATCAGTGGCTCGACTAAGCTGCTGTCTGACTTCTCTAGCAACAGCACTGAGAAGAACAGAAAGATTTAGTTTTGGTTGATTGTATTGCATTGAATGCTGATAACATTGTTAGCGGCGTTTAAATAACAAATTAAATTGTCTGTATGAGGCAAGGAGACTGTCTGTTATACTATAATTATAATAAAAATATAATAAAATAAAAATAGAAATTGTCTGTTTTGTCTCTTTGTCTGTCAAAATTGTCTGTCTGTTTGAATGCCTACCACATCTAGATATTTAAACAGTCGAACAAGAGCAATAAGCATCATGGAAGTCGAAGATAAAATATCAAGTACAAAGATGAACAACGTAAAAGTGAAAGACTTGAACGATTTTTTCATAGATATGTTTATGTTAAAAGATATCTGTGATGACTTCGTCGAGTTATTCAGAAAGGAAGAAAGGTACTTCTCGAATGAAGAGAAGTACAATGAATTATTAGAAGAAGAGGCCATAATGGTTGACAATATACACAACCTGACCACGGAAATAAAAGAGAATTACGAAGAAGTGGTTGATGCTTTCTATGAAAGAAGACTGCATAGAATGGAAGCTAGAATGATGAAGGCTTTCAATGAAACAGAAAAGAAGCCAAGAAAGCCCAAAGAAGATAATCAAAATTAATTAATTCCTTTTTAATAATTATTTTGTTTAATTAAAATTAAATGAAATAAAAAATAAATAATAAATTAGTCTTCAATGTCATTAACGAAATTGAAGTTCTCTAATAATTCTAATAAACCACCAAGTTTATTAAATCTCTCGTCTTTTCTGCAAGAATCGACGAAACCTGTAATGTAGAAGAACAGGATATCACTATAATTATAGTGAGTCTCCTCGAATCTCCTCATAAAGTACATGATAGAATAGATCAGACATTTGGAGTCTAAATCTATAGTATCATTATCGAGGAGACCTTTACAGGTTTCGTCGATATCTTGCACTATGGTTGAAAGAAGAGGGAACATGAACTGAATTAAAAAGTGCCCAACTATAAATAACAAGTAAAACGTGTACTCCACAGATAAACAGACAGTTCTAAAATTAAAATACTATAAAAATATTATACTTATAGTAAAACAGACAATTGATATCCTCATACAGTCATTTAACAGCCTCATACAGACAATTTAGAAAATTCCAACTAATATAAAATAGAATCTCGTTACGATTAAATCAAACAAACTTGATGTCACAAAGTCAGAATAAGTATTAGGAGTTTAAGGCAATGCATGGTTATGTAACTCTCAATTTAAAAAACAATACACCAGTTCCTTCAAAAGAAACAATTAAAAATGTAATAGAACAATGGTGCACTACGAGAAGTAAAAAAGCTCAAGTAAAATACTTAGCACTAAGCAAAACAACAAAAGGAAATAATAGACATGTACACGCTTTTTTTGAATTAGAAGATATAAGTCACGTAAGAAAGAGACCATTCGTACAACTAAACAATGAACAACACTTCATGAAATTTGAAAAAATAACAGAGAATAAAAGTTACGATGGAAGTTTTAAAGCAATCATCGACTACCTGAAAAAACAAGGAGATAAACACCCAGATAGTGGAGCTATATTCGAAGAAATGGGAAAAATGGAAAAGAATCGAGGAAGACTAGGAGATATCGATTTAGGTAGAGCTTTAAAAATGCCAACTTAGAAGAGGCCCATGCTTATCTAAAAGGAATAAGTGTAAAAGGTTTTATGAATATTGGACAAAAATTCGACAGCTTATGGGCTCAAGAGCATAGCAGAGATAATTACAACAGAATAAAAATCAAACTACAACCATGGAAAGAAGATAATCCAGTGGTTAAAAACAGCCGAATATGGTTAAACTCGGCACTAAGCGGCAGAACAAAAAGAATAAAGACACTAGTAATAGTTAGCGATACAAAAATGGGCAAAACAGAATTCGTTAACGATTTATTAAAAGACTTAAAAGTTGACGAGTTTAGAGGCAGATTCATGATGGATGGACACAATGAAAGCCTAAAATATGATATAAGATTATTTGATGACGCAAATCTCAATGATATTATTTGGCCCGAATTTAAATCTTTAATAAGTACTCGCGGAGAACAAATAACAATTAACGTAAAATACTCACATGCCAGAGTCACCTCCATTCCAACAATATTAGTACTCAATCCAGGAAGTTGGAAAGCACCCCAACAAACAGCAAAAGAATACGAAGACTTTGATTGGCTAGAAAAGAACTCAGTAGTACTCTTCACTAAAGAGAAATTATTCAAAGAGCCTCCACCTAAACCACAAGTAGAACAAAATAAGAACAAATATGATGGTTTAGATCCAAAATTGGTAGAAATGTTACTAGAAAATGAAGTAGAAGAAGACATCGAATTAGATGATATGGGAGATGACACAGTAGATGATTTAGATGATGCAGTATACCAATTAGAACAAGAGAGTCTACCACCTCCTATAGTATTAGATCAACCAATTATAGAAGAAACACCATCAAAAAGAGTAGTTACAGATGATCACGAAATGCAGAAGAGATTCTTTGACTTAACGAAGAATGTAATAACAGAAGAAGGAAATAATAAATATATCACTGTACAAAGTGGAAAGAAAATAAGAATAGCAGATGAAGATAGCAGTGAAGTAGAAGAGAGTGAAGACGATCCAGATGCTTTAGTAAACAATTGGAATACAGGTAATTTTTAATTAACTGTTTTTTATAATTCATCTTTTATTTTTTATTCAACATGAGCTATTGGCATAGACCTAATGTATTTAGAAGACGTTGGGGTAGTTATGGAAGTATAAAAAACAATTGGTATTCCAATAACTACTCATTAAATTCAATAAATGACAATTATGACCCTGATGCAGGAGATGAAGACTATACAGAAGAAGACGATGTAGATTTACATCCTAACGTATATACAGAGAATAGTTATTTTGATCCAGATAATGAACCAGAACGAGCAAATAAACCAGACTTAATAGATGAACAATACAATAAAACAGAAGAATCTCTTTTTGATGATCCGGATTATGAAGAATACAATAAAGAATTTGGAAATATTGAACAACCAAATGAAGAAGAAGAACAGTATACAGAAAATCAAGAAGAAGATATTCAAGAAGAAAATGAACCAACATATGAAATAGTTAATCCAAATAATCCAGAACAAGTCTATACCTATGATGACAACACAATTAAAATACTTGATGGTATCATTGACATAAACAACGATCAAGAATTAATTAATATCCTCGATCAAGTAGACCAAGACATTAAAAACAATAACCAAATTATAGAAAATGATATAACAGAAGAAAACACGAACGAAATTCCAATAGTAATTACAAATGAAAATAATAAAATAATACTAGCAGATAACATAAAAGAAGAAAGAATACCATCAATACTAGAACAATTAAAAGAACAACCATTACAGGAACAAATAGAAATACATAAAGATGTTAAAGATCCTGATAACTTTATAATACCACCTAAACAATATAAAACAATAAAACCAATGGATGATGATGAAGAAGATGAAAAGAACAGAAAAAGATATAGAAAATTAGATGACTTCTTTAATGATAATTATAAGAAAAGAGGAGATGATAGTTCTTCGGATAGTGAAGATAATAGAGAAGATGGAAAAGGTAAAGTTAAATATCAAGCTAAAAGACCATTTGAAGAAAAATTAACATCAACATTCTTTAATCCACCTAGAAATAATAACTTACCACCTCAACAACCAATACAAGAGATTGTACCATATCAACAAATAATAATTAAACCAGAACAGAAAAAGAAAAAGAAGTCTCCCAAGAAAATACAAAATAATGATGACGTCAACGGTAATAAACCTGACGACGATTCTAAAGGTATAAAGATTAAATTAAACGAATTAGAAGAAAGAGAATTAGTATTAAAAGAAGCTAAACCTGTACCAGACTTTATACCTTTAGAATCCGTCGATATACCAAATGAAGTAGAAAATGAAGAACCAATACTAGAAGATGATGAACAAGAATTAGAATGGTATGATGACCATATGCCAGAAGAAATAAAATTAGATCCTGTACCAGAAGATGCTAAATATTGGCATAACTTTAAACATAATTCAGAAAAGAAGAAAATAAATTATCCAATTCAATTAATTGATGATAGAACACAAGGTAATTTAGAAAGACAAGCTAAAGAATCAAGAAAACTCCAACGAAAAACAAGAAAACAAGAAAAGATCAAAAAGATGAAAGATCCTATAAATAAAATAACACAAATAAATAAATTTGTTAATAAGAAAATTAAGAAATACTTAAAACGTCATCCTCTATTAATAGAAGAAGAAATTCCCGAAGAACTTATTGAACGATGGCAAGAAGAAGCACTTCATGATTACAATTATAGATTACTAATGTTAGAATCAGAAGTTATAATTGTACAACAACCACCTTCTACAAAAAGAAAAGAACCAATCGAAGAAAAAGAACAAAAAGAAGAGAAACCAGAAATAGAAAAAGAAGAAAACGATTACCCGTTAAATCTAATTATAGAAGAAGATAGTGAAGCAGAAATACCTATAGAACCAGTAGAACCATTAGAAGATCCACAGTTCGACTTTGCCACATCAACAATTGGCGGGGAAGATAAAGTTAGAACTAGATAATTGACTATTTAAAGAACCGTTTTAATCTGTTTAATCATACCATGACTACAAGCATTAGAGACATCATCGCAGACTTCGCTCTCGGAAAATATAAAGAAATGGGAGACGAAGAATTAATAGAAACGATGAACAAATTAATGTATACAATAGATGATGAAACAACATCAGAAGAGAAATTAGCTTTAAAGAAGCCATACTGGAGCTTAGTATACAGAATAGCTAACAAAAAGGGCTTAATGTGGGAGCTACCAAAGAAAAAGAAAGAAACAAAGAAAGAAGAGAAAGAAGAAAAGAAGCCCTATAAAAACAGATTTATAATAAAAGATAAAAAGGTAGAAGAGACAAAGCCTAAAAAAGAAGATAATTGATTATTTAATATTATAAATATGATCTTTATTTTGAACATTTTCTACGAAAACTTTACGTCCATCAGGTCGCATATACACTTTAAAAGTATCAGGATCAGTTGGACTAACTTTTAATAAAACACTGCCCCATTCATCTTCATTTTCAGAACTACCAAGTCCTTTAAGATAATTAAATCCACTGCGATTAGGATCATCGGGATAAACCAATCTATCACCACCATCACGATTCCACATATAATGATTTCTCATATATTCAATAAGATTACTCTTCTTCTCAAAGTCACTAGCCTCAAACCATCTACGACCACTTCCAATACGCTGATGAGTACACATACCATAATTAATTTTATGATAATAATCATCATTACTACCAGTAAGTAATTCCCTAGGAAGTTGAATATTCAATAACTTAGCATAACGATAAGCAGCAGCATGATCAATAGTAAAATCGGTCTTAATATGACGCCTTAATTCATCAGGTAATTGCTCAAAAATAAAAGTAAGACGTCGAGCATTATACTCTTGAAGATCATCAGGAAGTAATTCACCCAAAGATTCGGGAAACAATTCAAATTCATTACCATTCTTTAAAAGCTGATTTTGATACTTAGGATCAATAACAATACCTTTACTTTCATTAACATAATAATCGGGAGCATAATATCTTTCACCATCTTTCTTAAGAACTCTAGCAGGAACAAAATGTAATTCATCTCGTATAACAGTTGGAAGAGGAATACTACCATAATCACGATCTTCTTCATACAACTTACCTAACTCTTGTTCAGTAAAAATAACATGAACATAATCCTTAACCAATGATGGATCATCAAGTAACATTTGCTTAAGAGCATCTAAATCATCATTCTTAACATTATTACCTTTAATATACTTTTCACGCATATATTTAATATTATCTTGTGTAGTATTCTTTCTAGTAGGAACATTATCACGATTTAAACGATCCTTAACACCTTTATACAAATCTTTTCCTCCTTCACCAGCAGCAGCAGTAAGAGCGGTTCCTAACAAACTACCACCAACTTTAATACCTTTATCAAACATAGCCCTAATTAAAGATGCATCCAATTTAGCTGCAGGATTATTCTTAATGACATCTTTCAAATCTTTAGGGAAACGTTCAGAAATATCCTTAACACGATCACCAATACTATCCTTAACATCTTTCCACCAACTATCCTTCTCCTTACTAGAACTTCCCTTATCAAACAAACTATCAGTTCTATCTTCTATCTCTTTTATTTTTTTATCAACAATCTTACCTAAATCTGGATCATACCTGTCATCAATCTTAGATGGTTTCTGTGCAGGATTATTATTAGGATTAGTAGGTTTTCTTTGTTCAGGTCGAGTAGGCTGTCTAGGCTTCTTTTGATCAACAGGTTGTCGATTTGAATTAGTAGGCTTTCTATCTTGTACAGGTCTTTTATTTTCAGGACGATTACTAGGTTTATCCTTTTGAGAAGGTCTTCTGTCTTGTGTAGGTCTCTTATTAGTAGGACGCTGAGGTCGATTACTATCAGGCCTTCTAGGTTTAGTCTCTTCATGCCTCTTATCATAATCTCTGTTATACCTTTTATCAAATTCATTCCTCTTATCACTTGGACTTCTATCATATACACGTTGATAAGTATATGGCTTTTTATTAACAAATTTATAATTACCATACCAACCATGAATAGAACCATAACTACCATACCGTTTCTTATGTAAATTTAAACGTGGAACACCGTATAAGTCAAAAAACATTAAATTATTAAGTTACTGAGTATTGAGTTTAAACATCAAATGGAACGATATTGACAAGATCCCGAACAACAACATAAACGTGAAACAGAACCATCATCTCGAATACAACCATGCATGCAACAACATAAAACAAGCAAAGTAAAAAGAATGAACATAAGGAGTACATCATGTAAACAACTCATAATTAAAATATAAAGATTAAGATACAAATAAATTAATTAGGAATTAATACTTTTACTACATCTAACACTTCTTCTATACCATCCATAACTTGATTTTGTCTTCTACTCTCAATAAAAGCAAAAAAACACGAAGCAATAAGTAATATACATGAAAGTACTAACATAACAACTTTCCTAATTACATTCCATGTACTATCTTTGAATACCTTTTCAACACAAGACTCAGAGTGATGACAATCACTGCTTTCTGTTGACATATTATGAATTTTTAAGTTCATCTTTATATTCAAATGATACACACACGTAATAATTGTCTTGAAAATACTCATCAAGTTGAATTTTCATTTAATGTTAAAAAAAGAGTATTAATAAAAGAAAATAAAAACTTTGGAATAGATACAACTCATATATTTTATGATTTATTCAAAAACACAAATTTTAATTCCTTCTGTAAATGTTTTAAAAGAGTAAAAATAGATAAAGCATTAGCAGTATTATCCATATCTGATATTAAAATGAAAGAAATAGGACTCAACTTTCCAACAGTATCAGTTTCATGGTTCCCTACATATATAAAAACAGAAAATGAAACAACAACACCTGAAGCACAATTAAAAATGGTTCAAAATAGTAGTCATATACAACAACAAATATATTACCCAGGTGGAGCATTTCAAATAACAACAATAATTAAAGCACAAACTATTCAAGAACAA